ATAAAAAAAGTATATTATCAAATTTATCAGAAAAATTCTTACGCAAATATATACGGAATCTCGATGGCCGCTAAAATCAATTCATAAACTGCTATATTTTACGTATCATTTGGAAGCTAGCTCGCGCGTATTTCGATATACGTATACCCAAAAAAATCGACAAATAACCATCCTTTGCCTGTCTTTACGTGCGCCGAAAAGCATAATAGAATATAAAATTCTTGCCTTCTCGCCCCCATAAAATATATATTTAGTTCCATAGACGCAAATCCGAAGCGATATTTCTATCATATCCAAGCTTAAACATTCATTTATTCTAATTTTTTTTTGACTCTAGCATTAAATTATATATTTCCTCCTCTAAACTACCATTTAAATTATATAATTTTTATGAAAAATTTCTGAACTAAGAAACTATTTCATAAAGACATTCATCATCCTATATTTATTTGAAATACTTTTATTCATTAAAGAATTCTAGAATTGTTTTCTATTGATATTACTAGCAATATCTCCCTCTATAATCTTATTTTTTTTCCATTTCAAATATTCTTTCGATCTCATCTCACACCACTTTCATATTTCTTAAGATAATTTAGAGATTCCATAATCTATAAAGAAAATATTTACTTTTTTGGGTTTTATTCCTTTAGTTCGTTTGAAATCAAAATATCCTTATTTACTTTTTATACTTATTCAATCTTTCATTTTTAAATGCGCTCCGCCAAGTAATAGAATCTCTGGAGTTCTAGAATCCGAAGAGAAGAAGGAAATCTCGTTATTCAAGAAATCCAAAGAATAATCTGACTAGATATCTCTACGATCGTTTGAAAGAATAAGAATCACAAAAAGAATCGGCGTCCGTCTTCCAATCGTCAAACCCCGCCGCCGTCCGCGAATTAGACGAGAAAGAAGATGCCAAACGAAGAAAAACAACAACAACAAGTGACGATTGAGAACCAAATCTGTTTGTAGCCACGTATACAACGCGTTTAAGAACAAAATAATTGCTGCCTGTTCTACTCGAGCAGATTTAATCCCCTCATACCGAGGCGCATCGCCTGCATTGATAGCTTTTATTACCAATTTGCCTTGACCCTCGTTTCTATAACTCGTAAGCTTTTTCCCACATTTCAATTTGCTATGAACAGCCGAAGCCGATAATTATCTCGCGCGGGAACGCAATTTTTGCTACTGTATAAAGTCCGACAAATGCGATTTTTTGAAAACGTCTCGAGCGAGATAGCGATATTTAAAAGTCAGCATCGCGACAAACCGTGATCGACCCCCCCCTTTTGCAAGACTACTTCAAAAGCAACCTGGTCTTTCAGCTAAATCCATCATAGATAGAAAAACGTTCATTCTTTGAAGACGTCTCGAGCAAGAGCGCGATTTTTGAAGATACCAAGATGTTCAAAGTCTCAAAACCAGATAGGAGCCACGAACCCGAATGCAGACACGTGCCATGTACATACAATGATAATAACACCCCACGAGCGAAACCACTTAGGAGACGTTGGTCCGGGGTCATCCCTTTCTCCTCCTCCCTCTTTCTCCTCGTCTCTCTTTTCTCCTCTCTCTTTCTCTTCGTCTCTCTTTTCTCCTCTCTCTCTTCTCTCCCCTCTCATCTCTCCTGTCTTCTCTCCTCTCTCCCCTCCTCTCTCCTCTCTCCTCTATTCTCTCCTCCCTCTTCCCTCCTCTCCTCCATCTCCTAATGTCTCTCTCCTCTCCTCTCTCCTCTCTCTTCTCTTCTCTCTCCTCTCTCTTCTCTCCTCTCTTTTCTCGTCTCTCTTCTCTCCTCTCTTCTCTCTCCTTTCGTCTCTCTCCTCTCGTCTCTCTCCTCTCCTCTCTTCTCTCCTCTCTCCTCTCATCTCTCTTTTCTCCTCTCTCGTCTCCTCTCTCCAGAGGCAAGGCCAAAAGTGACGACAATTCTGCGATTTGAGACCACGACCCCCCCGATCCCTGTGACTGGTGACACCTTTGAGACACGAAGACCCGAGACAAGTCCAAAAGTGACGACAGTTTTGCGTTTCGCGACCACGACCCTGCCGATCCCTGTGACTGTTGACACTTTTGAAACGCGAAGACCCGAGACAAGGTCCAAAAGTGACGACAGTTTTGCGTTTCGCGACCACGCCCCCCCCGATCCCCGTGACTGTTGAAATTCTTGAAACGCAAAGACCCGAGACGAGTCCAACAGTCACAACAATTCTGCGTTTCGCGACCAGGACCCCCCCGATCCCTGTGACTGTGACATTTTTGAGACGCGAAGACCCGAGACGAGTCCAAAAGTGACGACAATTCTGCGTTTCGCGCCCAGGACCCGCCCGATCCCTGTGACTGTTGACACTTTTGAGACGCGAAGGCCAACAATGTCTGGTATCCCGACGACGCAGAGTGGTCGGATAGACCGGAACAAAAAGAACCGGTTGATGAGCATCCAGATGAGGAAGACCGAACCCCAAGTCCGACCGGTGCTCTTCGAAAGAGAACAACCTTTCGCCATAAGGCAACTGCCAGTGGTGGACAGGGCGCAAATCAAGCGCTGTGGGAAACAGTATCAAGACGTACTAAGCGTCCCCCTACACCTCCAAGGAGCAACCGTGCCCGGAATAGCCGTGGTAGTAGTGCAGCCGACTCTGCTCCAGTTGTTGCGCCCCTAAAGAGCAAGCGTGCTTCCAAGGGTCGCAGTAGTAATGATGCAGATCTAGCTACAGCGGTAGCGCCTCCCAAACAGAAGGAGGAGAAGAAGCAAAGTGCTACGTCAAAACAAGATGCGGTGACATCATCAAAGCTGGGAAAGAAAGCCACGAAGACAAAGTTGAAGAGGAAGAGTCCTAAGGGCTCAGTCAAACATAATCTTAAGCCTAAAGAGGAGGAGCCTACCAAACGGAAGATTCCTCAACCTCCGGCCCCTCCAAAGCGCCGAAAAAGGACACAGTCTGAAAAGCCGGAAAATCCAAAGGAACCCTCTTCTGGCTATCCGCGGGCATATCTTTCCCCTACTCCCAAAGTTAAAGTCTCTGCAGGAATTACCGGTAGCAAAGAGCGAACCAGATTATGAACCTACCGAGGAAGCTCAAGGTTCACAACCTGCAGGAGTAGATGGAGATGATACCGCTCCAGAAACTCCAGATTCTTCCGGAAAGAGTAGTTTGGAGGAAGAGCAGCAGGAGCCTGAATCCAAAGATGTGAGTGCTCAGCTGGATAGCTAGTCTTAGGGCTTCAATGCAAGCCCAAGCAAAGCCCCCAGTTGTAAACCCTCCATCATTGGGACTTCGGGAAGAAGTCAAGGAGAATAGTTCTAAACCGCTTGACGCTCCAGTAGGTAAGGGTCAAGTTCGGGAGAACATTATTCCTGTCTTGACGCTAACGTCAACATGTCAGAGGATGCTGACCTAACACGATTAGCATAACTCCGGCCGTCTTCCTGGGAACATGGTGATTGTTCACGAAGAACGGCGCCCCATTGAGTTTAAGATTTTGATGCATCGGCCCGGACACATCATAAGTATTTACCAAAATGCTTTGGAGATACCTGATGGTACAAACCTCAAGAACTTGGACACAGATATAGTCCTAAGGGTTCCTGAAGAACTGCGTACAGGTTAAATCGCCCTTCTTCCTTTTCCCAGTATTCCCAGCAACGCGCCACACTTTTGCTTCCAGCGCTCGGTACGATCGCTGTGAGCAGGGTGAGCAATGCTTCTACCGGATGGTCTTGGACGCGCTACCACCCTTAAGCTTTGTACTTGTGCCAACCATAAGTGCGAAGCACGTGAGGACTTTCAGTACAATGGCACTACAGGGCACAGCAGAATCGATCCAACCTGGCGAAGACGGTGTCATCTCTGGGTGCCCTACGGGTCCGAGTGAACATTGCTGTGGAGTATTGTCAGCAAGGGCGAGCGAAACATTTGGGATGGGAACGTGCAATCAGCCATGACGGCGAAGTATGCTGCAGCGCGTACTACGATCCTGGCAACGCAGCCTATGCAGGTTTCACGAACTGCTTATTTTCTCAAGAGGAGATCACCTCCATATGTCGGGGCTCTCCGGACCCAAGTGAGGAGCTGTTGGGCGATATTCTCGAAGCGGCAACCGGCATGCTCGTTGTTGCAGCGCACTTCCCTGACATGTTTGGCAAGTGGGGCCGTAAGGACACTGTTGAAGCATGTTTCCGAGGAATTGAAAGATCATTCCATCGGTATGCGGCCGTTGAGTCGATTACCTTGTTCCCCACGCAGAACCGAAAACGCAGAAGATCCAGCAAAGAGGGATTGACGACATCATTCATCTGATTCGTTTCAACTCCTTTGCCGATCCTGCTGATGGACCTGAGGAAGAAGGAGAAGCTGTTCAAACTCACGTCCCTCAAACAGTTCAGGAACCAGAGTATGACGCCGCGCCTGAGGAAGAGGTGGCAGCCTCCATTGCTACAGGTGAAGAGCCAGAGGAAGAGGAAGCGAGTCAACCGGACGAGTTGGATGGTCTCAGTGAAGGTCAACTCGAGTCGTTGATCTTGCTCGACGAGCGGAGGAAGGACTTGGGCACGTAAGAGCTCTTCTTGCGAGGAACGACATTTGCCTCGCTTGTTATGGGGATGATCATGGTACTTTTGACTGCAGAATATCTCACACAAGTTGGCGGCGCAGGCCGTAGGCCATACACTATCATCATACGTGACCTGGCACGTAGTGCACAGGACCACGCTCATACTGCACATCTGTTAACACCACCCACGCTTGACAGCAAGGCAGGAAAGCGCAAAATCGAACAGACTGCTCAAATCAGCCATTTCACATTGCGCACTGCATCGAGTGATTTAAACTCTTCACCGCACTTATGAAATTTATTGCATTGCTCAACCCTAATTAAGTGCATGGGATCCAAGGTGAAAACAGGACGACTGTCGACAGGGAAAATGCGCTACGCACAAACTAGCCTACACTCACGTGAGTCATACAGACCCTTACAGTAAAAGCCGTCAGAAAATCACCTCACCATCCATCAGGAGGACATCCGCGGTCTATAGCATTCGGTTTGCGTGGCCCCAAAGGACGTTGCGAAGGATAAGGCCCAGGATGCTGCGCAGGACGAATCGACGAAGGTGCGGCGGCAGTGTAGCCTCGACGAACACCAGTAGCACGCGTCTCGTTCTGGATTGCGTCAGCACGTTGTTCATCCGTGGGTTTCCTGGGCAGGTACTCGATAGGCAAGATTTTCATTTCATTCTCGGGTCGACGGGATCTGTCCTGTAGATAACCCTGATACTTCTTTTCACATTCGGGGGGAAGTGCGAACCCATGACTTTGGACCAGAATAAGCAGTTCGGTCAAGGCCTCTTTCGCGGGTTGCGCCGCGAGCATCGCGCCAGGATCGATGTGCAAATAGTCGGGCACGTGCGTCATATTCCCACGGAGATAAGAATATGCTTTGACACCGAAAACGCACCTCAAGATCCTGTTCATGGTCACGTGCATAGTGGCCCTGACGGTGTTCCGGTCATGTGCCTTGAGGTTGAAGTGTGACCGTTCGTACCCAAGCGCAATGCAACCGCGCACTGCAATGGACAGCATCCGGTGCATCTTGTATCGTTTGGGACGCCAATCTCGCATTTCAGGTTGCCGAGTGGACTCAATGATCTCTGCATCTGTAAGGTCTCGTGGTATCCCCGTTGACTCGTCGAGTTCAACGATAGGCCACGCCCCCAATGCATCATGCCTGCTTCCTTCCTTGAATCGAGACAGCATGTCGGGATAGGGAAGTCGATGGAACCTCTCAAACGCAGCCCAGAAATCCAATATGAAGCCACAGAAGATGACATCCATGAATTGCGTCGCCACTTGACTCGAATCATAGTTGGCGACATGCCAGGTTCCCTCGTGGAGGTGAACCGTGAGCGCATCGAGCGCTCTGGCATGAAGGGTGTTGATACTGCAATCCGGTTGAACACGAAGCACTCCTCGAAGTCCACCATCCAGAAGACCCTCATCATAGGCGTCAACGTTCGCGTCTTGGCGATCTCGCTCGTCCATCATTTCATCATCATGAGCCAATGCTTCCGCATCCGGTTCAGCCACGGTCATGGTGTCGGAGACATCATGGTCCTCCAGCTCGGCCACAGATCCAGCTTCGATGGCTGCATCAACCTCGGCGTCAGCTGTAGCTTGAGCACGTTGCAAAGCATACTCACTGATCTCAGGCTCGTCGTCAATGACCTGAGGAGGCGGAGTGATGTACTCCTTGCGTCCAATGTGCAATCGAAAATTGCAAGGCAGGCATGACAAATCGCGAGCTTGGTTGGAGTCTCGTGCGTGCATTGTGGACATACCCGAAGCTTCAGCGGCTCCCGCTGGGATGCCGCGCTGTAAGTGTTCGAATAATGCCTGCTGCGCATGGCCGCGCACCTTCGCTTGAGGTTGTTAGATCTGTTTCCCGCATCGAGTTCGGCAACGAGCCGGTCGCGTTCAGACGCATGAGGTCCCGGGTTGAGGCTGAGGAGGATTTCCTTGACCTTTGCAGGGGTGGCGTCAACATATGCCCCGTAGGGGTCATATGTGCCATTGACGTTTTGCACGATCTCATTCTCGAGCGAATCGCTCATGATCTTGCGGATCTCGCGGAAATGCCAGCTGTGACCGGGTGCTGGAACTGCGATCCATGCGTCCCTCACTTGATCAAGTGGACTTGGCCTCGACACCAGGAATACCCCGTTGTCGGACAATGTCGCCCCATAGTTCCGCAAGACGTGGACGAGGAGCGGCATCCTGTTGTCTCCGGAATTCGGTACCTCGTAATGAGGTTGCGAGGATCCCATGGCGTGAAGACGCCGAAGTGGGTACTTAACCGGGTCCCGTGGGGGCCACCGGGGAGAATGCCGTCGTTGATGATGCCATGAATGTTGCGAATAGAAGTTGCATGGAACCCACCCCCAGATCATTCATCACGCTGATCGTCGGGTGGTACGCGATCTTTGTCGGGTCCAAACACACGCCTGAGTGTCGATGGACAGGGTGTCCACTCGTGGCCCGCACGGCCCAAGGCCGGACCCACGCGTCATCGGTCATGTAAATGGAGGGATCATCGAAGCATGTATCCCTTTGACTCTGAAGTTCGGCAATTTGGACGTCGACGCTGACAGGTTGACTCGACCGATGTGACGTGGCCCTGCCAGGGGACACACCTTGACACCAAGGAATTGAAGGCGAAACCTCTGAGTCCTCAAGCCGGCGGCCCAATTTGACTTCATAAGGAGCTCGAGCCTTCGGCTCTTTTCAGCCATGTTTTCTGAGCGGATCGACTCGCGTACTTGGGTTGCCAAAACATGTCCCTTTCCAGAAGAGCATCAATATTCACCCACCTCCCTCATCGCACTCGAGAGTGGGAACACCACGTACGCCTCGGTACTCAACACTGTATGGGTGTCGCCCAATTTTGCGCCGTAAGAGTGAATTGAAGTCGTACATCATCTGGTCAAGCTGGTAACACTCTCCTCGTGAAATTGTATTGGCTTGTTCGAAGACTTCGAAGTTGCCTCGTCGTGGCGTGACGCGGAGGTCTCCACCAAACACCCCCTTTGCCGTGCGTAGGTATTCGGAAACACCTCCGAAGCACTGCGGGAGTGGGTCACCACGTCGTGAATGAGTCGCCACGGTTTCGCCAATAGTCCGTCGGACATATAATGGCCTGCCTCGGTGTTGGACGGAAGCCCCATGGAGCTGATCTCTACTACTCGGACAGTCATGTGCGTTAGCTTTACTAACTAGCCCGCCACCAACCCCAAGTTCTCCTCCTGAGGTTTCCCGGTGGAAACTTGTTTTGCTAGCGTAGGCTAGCTAGGAAAGAGCTTCAAGCAAAGTTCACCCGCGTTAGCACTTTAGCTTGC